AAATAAAAAGATGCTATTCCATCGATGAGGTTTCTTCCACTTGCAGTGTGCTGTCTGCATTATAAAGAATCAAAACTTTTACAGGAAAGGGAAGATGGAGAAGTTCTGCAGTTTACATGAGGACATTAATACTTCTGCACTGAGGCATGGACTTACCTGTGCTAAGAATTCCTAAAATGACTGGCTCTTGCTTAAATTTCCACAATCTCTACAGCTTCAAATTGGTCTTTTGTGCAAGAGTACCTTGTGCAGAGTATCAGGAGCCTTCCATGATCTTCCAGAGCTTTTATTTTGTTTGAATTATCCTGTATTCTGTAGCAGTCTAATGAGTTTCAGTAAATGCAATAGTGATGCCAAAAAACAGAGAGAGATTTTGAGCAGACCAGAGGTGAGGTTTTGCTTTTTGGCATACTGGCTGAATTGATGTACCTGCTGCAGCTGCTTTAGCCATACAACTATTTTGGAATACGTGAAAGGAAAGGTTTTTCAAAATGGGCAGCTAAGAATGTGACGGGCAGATGTTTTCCACATGCTTCTAGCTTCATTTGCATTCACAACAAGAAAAAAAAATGGCCTGGGAGAGGAATTGGAGTCTAGAGAAAGAATGCTGCAATATTTGTGCATATTTCTGCAGTGTTTTCATCTTGAGTTATCACAGCACTTCACTGGTCTTCTTCACAGTGGGAGATAAGACATTTGGGTTGCTTCCAGCACATCTGCTTCTCGCAAGTCGTGTCATTGCTTAGAGGTCTGAGCTATATCTCTTTAAAATAAGTGACTCTCTCAGTTCTGAATGGGCTTTGTCTCAATATGGTCCCCAACAAGATAGAATAATCAGGGTAGAACTGAGAAAGCTCCCAGGTGTTGCCTGCAGAAAAGACGGTTGTGTTACCAGTGCCTTAGAGGTCCTGTGGGCAGGCTGTAGGAAGGCAGTTCATGTAAATCCTATACTGTTTATTACAGTACCTCAGCTCCTCTTAACTCTGCAGGGTGCAGTGAGGACAGAACCTTCCAGTCAGGGTACAGAAATAATACTGTCATGTAATACTAGATTTCAGTATGGCCCTATAGGCTCAAAAATAACACAAATTATTTAATAAGTAAGAGTGAATGCAAAATTACAATGGATCTTGTTTAACTAAGAAGTGCTTGTGGCTGTGTAAAAGTGGGATGAAGGTGAGAAAAAAACATTCCTAAATGTTGTTGACAGCAGCTGTTCTCCCTGGCACCATCTGAGTCTGTGAGCTCTAGCTGGGAATGACTAGCAGCCACATTCAGTGGCAGGACTGTGTAGCCCTTGCTGATTAGCTGCAGAACCCCAGCATTGTCTCTGTCTTTACTGGTTGTACCCAATTTGCTCGCAGCTACATTATAATCTTTACCATACGTGAACCAGATGCCCAGTGGTGTTATCTGGAGAAGATGAGATAAAACTATGGAATACATTGTGCTGGTGGATAGAAATTACTGCAGGCTCCCCTTTTCTCCATTAGAAGATCCCCATATTACAACAATCAATACCACGCTGCCATCCACCCTACTCAGTCCAGTTTCTTGTTGTAGGAGAGTCCAGAACATGTGTTTATCAGTGCCTTTCTAGGAAGCTGCCAAGTCTGTAACGTCACCACAGACCCCTGATCTTCAGCAGAGAGAGGTAACCCACCAGGATCACCAGTGCAGCAGCCAGCGTGGCAAGAGTCATAGATATTCTGGGCATTCAAGTAGTAGATTATCCTGCCTTAGTCATCTTGGCCAAAACTTTAAAGACTGGACACTGAAAAATAGTTAACTAGATTGCAAGAATTAAGTGCTATTGGCTTCTGAAACCAGGTTATATGGCAGCTTCTTTAAGTAAAGGTTGTACTGTCCGTGTCTGTGCCACATTTAGTACTCTCCACCAGAAAGAACCTGTATAAGTTGATTGTATGAAGATCAGTAATCTTAAGCATGTTACACCCCCTGATAGCAAAGATTAGGCTTCTAATAGGGTTGTGATCAACCCTCTAAGCACATTTTAAAATATCATTGTCTTTGCCTATATGACTGCCATGGAGAGTTAAAAAACGTAATACATTCTGTTTCCCAATGTAGCAGCGTTGTGGTTTAAAAGTTTTGGACAAGTTGTGCAGACATATATATGAAAAAGCTTATTAAAAAGCTTATTAATATGGAAATACGCTTAAAACTGACCTTCTAAAATCTCTACTATATCTATTTGTTCAATTGTGAGTTTCTTGCAAAACTACTTCTAACTCCTGCCAAAATGACAGGCTTCTCTTACTCTTCCCCCATCCTCCAGCAGCTTCTTTGAATTCTGTAAGTAATGTAAAAATGCCATTTACAAATGAGAGATTTATTCCATCCAGGCAGTCTGCATTTCTTCCAAAGCACTGGAGTCTTTCGGAGTCTTGCATTAGACCAGAACTTCTTTCTGGCATTTATGGGTCAAAGTTGCATAAAATTTGGTTTAGGTTTTCAGAACGTCAGACTCTAAGGAGTGGAAAGGCCAGGAATCTGCCTTCCTTTGCTGTGCTCACATGGGAAAAAGTACATATGAAACGGAGGTATTCATTTGGCTTCCAGAAACTTGTATTAATGATTTAGAGCATCTAACCAGATGTCTAGCTCTCAGTGAACTCCTCACTAAGTTCAACATGAAAGCTGCTTCTGATTTTTTTCATACAACATGGTGAAATTTGCCTTTTTTTGAAGAAGGTGACTTGAGGATTGTTTACAAAACGGTTTTTGAAGAGATTCCAGGAAGTCAAAGTATCTTTTGTTGTAAACCTCACTTCAAGATAAATGTGGTTTAGAAAATACCACTTGTGCAATTCTTCACCTTCTGTGGAAAAAGAGAAGAGTCAAATACCCCTTAAGAGTATAGCATTTCTCTTTGCAGGGGAGTACATTGCAAAGCATATGTTGTATTATTTTGGGGTTGGTCACCCGCTTGTTGCAGTTGCCCAAATGAGCCAACTGTTTGAGATCTACCTTTTTTTTTTTACCAAGCTGATTTATTCCCCCCACCCTAGCTTTTCACTCAGATATTTTAGCTCGTTAGCATTGTACAGCTCATGGGCCACAAATATAACCCCACTTTGCAAACAATGGATGAATAGCATATTGCAAAGGAGGAAAGTAAACAGCCAGCAGTCTGGCCCTCAAAATGGGCAGTGTTTATCAGAACGAAATAAATGTCTCTCCCACTTCCCGGCTGTCTGTCGCAGCCAAAACCAGGACACCGGCCATCACAGTGGCTGTTCTTAGGAGGAAGTAGCTCAGCTCAAAGCCAGGTGGTTGTATTGCCTAGACCAGAGGCTCCCAAACCTTGTGGTGACAGCTGCCAGAGAAGTTAAAAAGTCATCTGTGTTTCTGACCTCAAAACAAACCGAGTTGGTGCAGATCAAATCTTGAATTAAATCTCCGCAAAGCTTGTCATCTGCATTGAGATAGCAATAAAAAATTTACTGATTGTTACATATGTCAGGTATAATCCTTCCCCCTTTCCCCCAGCTTTATTGTCTGTGTGAGACTTTGAAAGGAATGAGAGCATGCTTTGGTACCAAGAAACCTTTAAAGAAAAAGATAGTGAGGATTAAGGCTCTTGGAAATAAGATGCCATTTTAATTAATGGTAGATTCTTCTTTAGGACTTGTACATTATGCCAGCTGAACATGAGCCGGCAGTGTGCCCAGGTGGCCAAGAAGGCCAATGGCATCCTGGCCTGTATCAGAAATAGTGTGGCCAGCAGGAGTAGGAAAGTGA